CAGAGCAAAGGAGGCAAACCTATAGGGAAGAAACCCAGAAATAAACACTCAGGAGAAAATGAGAGAGAGTAGAAGAGGAACAAAGGTGGGAATGCGTCCTCTGGAAGGGGCAGGAGGATAGCAGGGGATGAGTCCTCTGGGAGGAGCAGGAGGACAGCAGGGGATGAGTCCTCTGGAAGGGGCAGGAGGACAGCAGGGGATGAGTCCTGTGGGAGGAGCAGGAGGACAGCAGGGGATGAGTCCTCTAGGAGGAGCAGGAGGACAGCAGGGGATGAGTCCTCTGGAAGGGGCAGGAGGACAGCAGGGGATGAGTCCTCTAGGAGGAGCAGGAGGACAGCAGGGGATGAGTCCTCTAGGAGGAGCAGGAGGACAGCAGGGGATGAGTCCTCTGGGAGGAGCAGGAGGACAGCAGGAGTGGCAGGTGACTTGACTGCTGAGTTGGCAGCTCAGGGCAGCAAGGGCTGGGGAAGGGAAGGTCACTGCTAACGCCAGCTGGCCACTTTATCCTTTCAGTTAAGAAGCTGCAGGTATGGGGATGAGCTTGGGCTCTATTGAGGACACAGCTGAAGGGGACGGAGCAAAGGACAGGAGCAGTACCAAAGTCAAAAGGCCCCAATGGTTGCAGGTGGTATGAGCCAGCTGCCTGTGGCCCTGCATATTTCTGTATTTGTGGGGCTCTTTTTCTATGACAGCAGCCTGGGTATCATCCCACAGCTCTACTAAAGGGAATGTAAGCATTTCCACTTGCCAGCATCCAGATTTTCTCCTGGGGGAGCCACAGACTAGCCTCCCTGGACTAAGCTCTTCTGCCTCCCTCCCTCGATCTGGAGGCCTGACTGGGAGAGGACAGGGAGCTGAGCCCTCAGGATGCTGCTGAGCTGTCACATTCAGTTCACCACACAGCCCTGGTGGCATTTAGGGGCAGTGTGGATGGGAGCCCACCCTAAGCCCCAAACAGTGAGAGCAGCTAATGACTGGGTATTAATGATGCCAGCAATTAGTGCTCACAGGAAAATGGCGGGGGTCTGCTCACCAGGGGCATGTGGGAGGAAATAGAGCGCACATTCGGAGCAGCAAGCGAATCGATACAGTAGTGTGTGTGGCCCACAGAAGCCAGGGCGAGCAGCTACAGCTGGGTTTGTCCGGAGAGACTAGGGCTAGGGGCTTGTCAGCTGTGCCCACTTCCCTTCAGGTAAAATTAGGGCTGGGCACAGAGTTTGCAGAGACAAAGTTGTGAGAAGACACCTCAAAGAGAAAATTAATTAAAACACGGGGCGTTTCTGGGGTTTTTGGAACTGTCTTTGTCTAAAGAGGGCCTAGATCAGCCCACATACGGCAGGTTCTCTCTGGGAGGTCAAATGATGCTTTGTGAAGAAGTCCATATCTCATCAGCAGGTGAGAAAGGAAAAAAGATGGAGGGGGGACTGGAGCATGTTGCTCACCCACGAGCCCACAGACGATGAAGGCAAGCATGAGGCATACATATACATCCCTGTATAGAAGAAGGAAAGGCAGAGTTTCTGTACTAAGCAAGTCTGTGTGATCTCCCTGGGATAATACCTAAGGAGGATGCAGAGGCCACTGATAATTTTATGTTCGAACTCTTGGCAGAAAGAGCAAAGAATGTCAGTGCTGATGACAAAAGTCTACTTGGAGGGGACCTCAGGAATGGCTGGGGAGGAGCGTCTCCCTCCACTTACTGTTGTTGCCAGAACTTTGCACATGTACACACATATATACACGAGTGTGTGAAACCACCACTCACTGTGGACACTAAAGAAGTGAAGGAAAACACAACACAAAGGAAGCCATCCAAACACTATAAAGAAGGATGCCTGTACACAGAAGCAAATGGCCAGACATTGAGGAAACGCAAGAGCTAGGCTAGCACTGGAGGGGTGAGAAAGAAAGCTAACAGACACGCTGGAGAGAGAACAAGTCACTAATCTGTGCTTTCCAGAAAGCACCTAAAGCCAAAAATCATTTCCAGCCTCTTCCTGGTAGGATGCGACAGCTCCCTGTGACTTCCTAGACACTTAGACCAGAGAAGATAAAGAGGAGAGAAAAGGGAATGGTGCTGTCAGCTGCCTCAATAGACAGGTCTTCGTCCCTGACAGAAAAGGAGAGCTCTCCCAAAGGGCAGACAGAGAGCCGGCTGTCATAGAGACTCAGGATCTGGTGCGGAAAGAGAGAAGTCAGCCTCCTCCTCCAGCCCTGCTTCCCAGTCTGCCCAGATGGCAACAGGAGGTGAGAAAGCAAGGGTCTGCCACATTAAAAGATCGAACTCTCAAAGCTGAAAACAAATTCATGTCACAGGATACATTTTTCCCAATTCCAAGTTCCTATATTGAGGCTTAACCTCTAATACTTTGGCATTTGACTCTACTGAAGATAGAGATAGATAAAGTAGTAATCAAAGTGCTGGAGAGATGGCTCAGTGGTTAAGGGAGTGCACTGTTCGGTTTCCAGAGCTTACATAGGGTGGCTAGCAACTACCTGTAACGCCAGCTTAAGGGACCTGATGCCCTCTTCTGGCTTCTACAGGCACTGCACTCATGTTCACATACCCACATACAGACACACATATACACGTGATTTAAAGTGAAAATAAATCTCCTACTGCACGTACTGGCTTTGTGGGAGCCTAGGCAGTTTGGATGCTTACCTTACTAGACCTGGATGGAGGTGGGTGGTCCTTGGACTTCCCACAGGGCAGGGAACCCTGATTGCTCTTTGGGCTGATGAGGGAGGGGGACGGAAATGGGAGGCGGTGGCGGGGAAGAGACAGAAATCTTTAATAAATAAATTAATTAAAAAATGTTGCTATGGCAAACATAATGGTGGATAAAACATAAATAAGGTGCAATCTTTTTTTTTTTTTTTGGTTTTTTCGAGACAGGGTTTCTCTGTGGTTTTGGAGCCTATCCTGGAACTAGCTCTTGTAGACCAGGCTGGTCTCGAACTCACAGAGATCCGCCTGCCTCTGCCTCCCGAGTGCTGGGATTAAAGGCGTGCACCACCACTGCCCAGCTAATAAGGTGCAATCTGATGCTCAACTCCAACTTGAAAAAAAAGGGGGGATTGCCAAAAAATGAAAAAAATAAAACTATCCTTTATGAATAAAAAAAAAGAAAAGAAAAGAAATCTGAAGGAGGAGGAGGAGGAGAAGTAGTAAATGAAGAGGTGACGTTTGTTAATGAGACTATTGGAGAAGCTGGGGAGACAGCTCAACTGGTAAGTGGTTGTCATGAAGACACAGGGACCTGAGTTTAGACTGTGCCCCCAGCACCCATACAAAAAGATGGAAATAGCTGCATGCACCTATAATCCCAGAGCTGGGGAGGCAGAGATGGGCGACCCTGGAGGTCTCCACAGCCAGTCTTGCCAAATCAGTGAATTTCATGTTCAGTGAAAGACTTGGTCTCAAAAAGCAAAGTGAAAGCCAACTGAGAGTATATGTAAGTGTGAAAGGCAGACAGACAGACAGACAGACAGACTCGCATGCATGCGTATGCATGCACCTACACACCACACAATGCAGCTATTAGGGCAGGCAGGTCCTAATCCAGTCTGCCTGATGACCTTATAAGAAGAACCCATGTGCATGGAGAGAAAAGGGCAGAGCTGCCAGAGGATAGCCATTTGCAAACCAAGGAGAGGGATATCCAGAAGCCAACACTGACAATGCCTTGACTTTGGCTTCTCAAGTCCCCAGATCTGTGAGGAACTAATTGCTGTAGTTTAAGACTTCTGGTCTGAGGTATTTTGTTGTGCCAGCCACAGCACACTGATAGAGAAGGCAGCATGACCATTGAACATGGGATACCGGTCTGGAAGAACCACACACAAACCTAAGCAAAGGCCTTGGCCAGGGGATGCCCATGGTTTCAGACGTGTGGTGAAAGTGTCCATGTGGCATCGGTCCCATAAGCTGAGATTCTCAACTACACAGGAGTCATCTTTAAATTTAGAATCTGGCTGCTTTTAAAAGGCAGAGTCTTTGTTCACTTTAAGAAAGTATACCAGGGCTGGAGCATTAGCACTAAGAGCACTTGCTGCCCTTCCAGAGGATCCAGGGCCGATACCTCATGCTCACACGGAGGCTCACAACCCCATCACTTCAGTCACAGGGGACCTGATGCAGTCATCTGACCTCAGCAGGCACTGCATATATGCGCATGTGTTACACATGCGCATACATGCAGGCAAAATGCTCATATACATGAAATAATAAACCAAATCTAAATGAAAAAAAGTTTTTAAAATATCTACCAACAAATTGTATAAATGAAGCAAAAGCCCACATCATAGGTCCACAAATACCTCTCCCTCCAGTGACCTCTGTATGGCCCAGAACTTGAACCAAGCTCAGCAGATTCCATGACCACATCCTGTTTGGGGGTGTTTGTCATCCCAGAAACCATACAGGATGGGAGAGAGCCAGTCTAACAGTGAATGCCCAGCCCCCTTTTCATTCCTAATTCATAACCGCGAGTTGAGGAAGGAGAGAAAGAATAGAAACAAATCTGCAGAATCACTTTGAGTCTTCAGAGCCAACTGTCATCCCAAGTGACATATCCATCCAGATGGCAGGAGAGCTCCATAGTAGTGACCCATACAGGAAAACCACAGCAGTCAACCAGCAACCGTCAGTCGCTCGCAACAGCTGTGAGCGGCCCTTCTGAAGCTGAGGGAAATGATGGACAGGTCTGGCCTGCGACAGTAGCCAGGTGAGGTCACTCCCCTTCTGCTGGACACTTACATCCTGCCTCTGTCTGGAGACAAGGCTGATCACGTGTATTCAAACCTGCTTACTCTTTCCTGAGTGCCCAGCTCAGCCATAGGAATGGTAGCTGGCTGAGCTGAGGGGTTCATTTACTGCACAACATCAAGACCCATGAGCTGTTGCTGCCGGGAGATACCGGAGTGGAAAGAAAAGAACTGCTCCCCACAATACCTGCCCCATGCCCCACTCCCCAACCTTACAAACGGGGACTCACGTCTGTGGTTCTCGTTTCTGTGGTTGGGTGGGGACCGCGTGTCCTGGTCTTGGGCTTCATCGCCCTCCTCGCTGGCCAGGTGAGTGTGAGCATAGTGGTAGCTGAGTCCCGGCCGGTTCTTGTAGCGCTTGCCACAGACTAGAGAGGAAGAGAGAAGAAATGATGGACAATGTCAGCAACTTCTGTGGTCACTCTCTCACACTTCAGGGTAACAGTCCCCAGCTGTCCACACCGGAGCCAGGTTTCCCCTTAAAAGTACCTCCCACCCTCAGACCCACACCACTGTAACCATGGGGCTCGTGTATGAAAAAGAGGTATAGGAACACGGATACTGTATACTCTACCATTCTGCCTGTGAGACCCTGGGTAAGTGAATGAACTGCTCTGTGTCTCCGTTGCTTTGGAGACAAAAACGGGAATGATAGCTGTATGAGTTCATTAACCACGCACCGCACAGAGTCCTTAGGTGAGCACTGTTTGTGTGTTTGTTACAGCATTAGGTACGCTAGGCAAGTGAGTTAGATATGCTAGGCACTGAGCTCTACTCCTGGCCTTAACACGGTACTTCAAATGGTACTAAGCACACGGAAAGGAAGATTATCATCAGAACTTTGCAACTTCACTGGAAGCCTACGCAGTCCAACGTCTTAGGTCACCAGTGAGGTCAGTGAGGCCCAGCAGCACTAAGTGACGCACATGGAACACATCGGCGGAAGAGCCACCAGAACCCAGGTCTGCTGGATTCCTCTGCAGAGCCTCATCCGCTGCTCTGCGGTTAATTCTCCACGAAGTAGCAAACTTTCCATGTATCACCCTCTGATTTACGCCAGGAGAATGTGCTCTACTCGCACCGTAAACACAATGGGACTGAGGCATCCTAGTGGTTGTAGTAGCCAAGAGCTTGTGACCTCAATGCTCCAATTAGCCTCTGGCACCCCAGAGACAGATTGAGACAAAAGGCAACTAGTAACATTAACATGGCATCTTAGAGGCAAGAATAAAGGGGGTGACTCAGTACCCTGGATGCCCGGGATTTAGACAGCAAAAGGCAGGCAAAGTGACCGTGGGCCAGACCACCAGCCATGCCTCCCCACACTCAGCCCAGACCTCAGCCTTAGAGGGATGGGATTGCCAAGAGCAGAGGCTTCAGGGTCTTCACAGTGAAACTGTGAACCCAAATGACCATCTTCCTCTTCCTCCCAAATGCCCATCTTCCTTCCCCCAAATGCTCGTCTTCCTCCTCCCAAATTGCCATCTTCCTCTCTCCCCAAACAGCCTCCTCTCCCTAAATGCCCGTTCTCCTCCCCAAAATGCCCGTCTTCCTCTCCCCTCCATGCCCATCCTCCTCTCCCCACAAACGCCCATATTCCTCTCCCCGCAAATGCCCATCCTTTCCCCCACCCAGAAGGCCAACCCTGGCAGACTCTGCTGGAGCAGTGAGGGATAGGTTGGTTCTGAGGGACTCTCCCTTCTCCCAGATCACTGGCACCAGAAAGCATAAATTCTTTATAGAGAGGAAGAGCAGGACTTCAACATCAGACCTGAGTTCCAATCCCAGTTTCGGGTGTCCCAATTCAGTGGCTGTGACCTTCTCTCTAAGGAGAAGAAACCGCCACAAGGTCTTCTCACAACTTATCTTTTCCTATCAGATTCTCCCAGGCTTGGCAAAAAAAATAGAAAGCACCGCCTATTCTCTCTCTTAAGTAAACTACTTCTAAGGAGCGTAATTCATTTTGAGTAATAGCCAGGACAATAGCTTTAAATGGAAGAATCAGGCATCTCTTATTTTTATGAAGTTGGATCTAGGGTTTCACTGTTTTGAATGACGTTATAGCTAATTTTTAGCTTTTATTAAATTGAAGCAGTTCCTATTATTCCTGTCTTAGAGTCTTATTATAGGAGCCTTTTATCGACTGCCCTTTAAGTATCTCTAATACATGGCTTTTCTTTGGTTTGTGGATATGGTGAATTAAGTTGGCTTCCTAGTATTTCCTATTATTGAACCATTCTTGAATTCCTAGAACATGCTCCATTTGGCCAGAGTGTATTATTCGTTTGATATAGTTATGGATTCAACTCGATAATATTGCATCTGAACTCAGACTCACAGAGCTATAACTTTTTAACTATCTTTATCAGGGTTCAATTTTATAGTTACATCAACTTCCAAAATGGAATGGACAGGTTTTGCTCTGTGAAACTGGACAAAGACTCGTGATCTCTCTGTGCCTGTTCTCTGGAAAGGAAGATAGTAATACTTTGGAGGTTAATTGAAAGATTATAAATAGTATTTGCAAAGAATCTCACCCAGCTAACATAACAGATGTTCAGTAAATGGTAGCTATTGGACAAGAGACACCAGTCTTGTTTATCACATCTTAAAGGTTAGACCTCCCCAAGAGAATCTTTGATCTCTCCTTCCACACTGTGGAATATGGAAGTTGGTTGGACTTTCTTAATGAGTGTTTGAAATTCAAGCTGGTGACCTTATCACTATAAATTCAAGCTCTCTCTCTCTGTCTCTATCTCTCTCTCTCTCTCTCTCTCTCTCTCTCTATATATATATATATATATATATATATATATATATATGTTTTTCTCTCTATCTCTGTCTCTCTCTCACGCACACACACACAAAACAGACTAAAATGGTGCCTTGCGTCTCAGTTCCATGTGACTTAGGAAGCAGGACATAAAGAGGCCCCTGAGGTACACTCTCTGCCTGCTTGTGGCTTTTCCATTTAACCTTTTAAATGATCTGAGGTCAATAAGCAACAAATTACAGGATCATTGAATATGAATCCACTTAGACACCAAACACACTGCTGTTGAGGGATGCATGCCTGTTCAAAGAAGAGCTGCTTTCAGTATTTGTCCAGGCGGCCTAGTACCTCTGCAGATCCAGCCATGATCCCAAGTGAGCCGTTTATGCAATGCAGGGTCAGCCATTGCTTTTCTTCTTAATCATAAAATTCCAAGATCTTAACAGTTACTTACACTAACTGCCCACTAATATCATTCCCACTAATGCTCTAGAGGCCTGTTCAGGCTCCAGGGATGAGAACTCACTGCGCTTCAAAGCAGTTACCCCTCCCTGGACTTCTTGAATTACGACGATCCTGTCTACACCTGCCGCCTTCCCTTCAGGGTGGCTTCCAATCGACTTGTCTGATATCCCCCGCTCCACCTCATCGGCTGCCATGCACTTTCTACAAAACATATTTGTTGAGTCACTGGTGTGGACATAGGAGCACTTGTGGGAGAGACAAGAGCCAGGAGTGGAGGCAAGCCTACATCTGTCCACACTAATCTCATACTAATGACGCTTAAAACCTACAAAGCTAAACCCAAGCAAAACCATCCATTTCCTCCCCTAGCACGTAGAGAGCGATCCTTTGAAGAACAAATTCTTTTGCTAGAACACAGATTCTCAGCGTGTGGTTCCTGGAGCAGCAGCGCCGCCAGTATCACGTGGGAACTTGTAACAGAAGCAAATTCTCTGATACCACCCCTCCCCTGAATCAAGCAATCAGGGGGCACCCAGCCAGGGAACCCAGATTATCCTGGAACTCACTAAAGCTTGAGAAGACCTAGGCCTGACTCTAACCAACTTGGTCTACCTACCCTCCCAGTGTGTGGGTGTGGGGTGGAGGCCACCTTGAAATGTGATTGGCTGCTGGAAGTTCCAGATCCAGGCAGTTCAAGAAGGTGTCCTGGAAGCCAGACTCCTTCCTAAAGTACCTCAGGATGGAGCTTCATCCTGTATGGCTCACTCGAACAGTGTGCTTCCTTCATCACTAGACCCTCACATTAAATAACGCATTTATTAAATGTTAATATCCATTAGACGGTGGCACCAAAGAGGATGAAGACAAAGGGGCCCTCATCCCTCTCCAAATAGTTCCCAGTCTAGCAAAAGGTCTGTGTCTATAGCAGAAAGACTGGGCGGCTGGCTGTATGAGCAGGCACGGTAGAGGAGGGTAGCTGAGCCAGGCAGCAGATGGCTTGAGTTGGGGGAGGTGGCTTCCTGGAGTGAGAATCCCTTGGTAGGAGAGGATGAGATGAGCAAGACCTCCCCTGGGGCTCCCCAGCACATCCATCCAGCACCTCAGGGGTACCGTGAGCCATTTGAGAAAGCTGTAGCAAAGGATAGGGGTGGTGGTTGAGGGAGCTAATACGAAAGGCCTCTGGGCTTGACTCCATCCTGATAATGAGGGACCAGGGTGGACTTTGCCCAGAGGGTCCTTAATAGGACTCTCATGTTAACACACTGCTTACAAGATGAGTTTGCCTGGCTGATAGATGGGTGGAAAAGATATGGCCTTATAGGTAGAAATGAGTTATGGAGAGAGGGGTTTGAGATAGAATCTTGTAGAAGGCAGGTATAAGAACGCAACAAAGTGCCAGCCAACACGGCTGTCTCTGATGTGCAGTGCCCAGCCTGGCCTTATCTGGCAGCAGGTCCTGCCTCCTTCTCAGCCTCCCTGCCTATTTCTCCTTACCACAGAGCCTTCAAGCATGTTCATCCCTCTGCCTAGCCTGCCTCCCACCCCCAGTTTGCCTGATGAGCATCTAATCATCCTTCAGCTCTTGGTCCTAATGCCCTTCCCCAGGGAGGTCCTGCCAATCATCAGGACCCCGGGGTTCACCTTCCTGGGACTAATCCACATCAATCCTACAGGCAGCCAGTGAGACAGACCCCGTCCATCCATTCACACAGGTTATATCTGCAGTGGCCAGCATGGGGTCTGCCTGTGACAGGCACTGGGATGTCAGCTTAGAGAGGTAATGAAGACTCCCAGGTTCCTGGTGTGGATGGGTTGTTAGAAGGTTATAGGAGAAAACCGAAAAGAAAAGAAAAGAAAGGAGGGAGAGAAGGGGAGGGGAGGGGAGGGGAGGGAGGGAGGGAAAGAGGGAAGGAGGGAGGGAAGGAAGGAAAGAAGGAAGGAGGGAGGGAGGGAGGGAAGGAGAAGGGAGGGAGGGAGGGAGGGAAAGAGGGAAGGAGGGAGGGAAAGAAGGAAGGAAGGAAGGAAGGAAGGAAGGAAGGAAGGAAGGAAGGAAATGAGCATGTGCTACTTTAATTCTCATGGAAAGAGACGTGACTGGCTATAGGCACAGTGGCAGTGGAAATTATGGTG